TGCAAAATATGTTATACTAATATTTTGTTTTAGTTTAATTTTCAAAAACAAAAACTAACATGCAAAACTACTTATAAAACAAAAAGAAAAGGACGATGTGTATTTGACACTGATTTATGTGAATGTGTTTCTTTTCTCAAAGTTAGTGTCTGGGATTTTTCTTTTGTATGTCCTCTTTTCAATCAAATTTTTTTTTAAAGATAGGGATGGGGGGTGTGGGGGTTTTGCCATGTTATTCAAGGCAGGTTGCCACCTGAAAAAAGTTTGAAACACACTGGATTACAGTTAAATTAACATCGTATAGATCACTGCTAGCTGACCCTTCACTCTTGACCCCTGAACCACTTACTGTGTCTGTTAATAAAAGACTATCAAACGCAGACAAAGAGTAGGGCAACAAGACATAAACAAGATGTGGGACTTGAGAGATCAGAGCACGAACAAGAGGAAAAACAAGGCAATCTGGCATGAACAGGATGGAAAACTTAGGACTGCAGGATATGAACAAGATTTCAACATGACGCAACAAAAGCAAGGTGTGAAACGTGGGGCAACATGAAGAAGTCTTGAAAAGTTCAGCAACAGGGCACAGACAAGATGTGAAACACGAGTGATTATTAGAACATGAACATTATGTGAAACATGAGGCAGCTTGAAGAAGACTTGAAACTATTTACAATATTAAACGAGAAAGATGAGAAATATGAGGCAAAATGAACAAGGTGTGACACTTGAAACAACGTTAACAAGATTCGAAACACGAGGCAAAACGAACAACATACAAAACTTGAGGCGACATAAACAAGATTGCAAAACAAGACGAAAATTAACAAGATTTCAATAATGAGGCAACATGAACAAGATGTGAAACATGAGGAAACATGAGCAAGATGTGAAACATGAGGCAACATGAACAAGATGTGAAAAATAAGGCAACAATAACAAGATGTGAAACATGAGGCACCATAAACAAGATGTAAAACATCATGAAATATTAGACACGATGAGAAACATTAGGCTACATTAACAAGATGTGAAACATGAGGCAACATGAACAAGAAGTGGAACATGAGACAACATGAACAAAAAGTGAAACATGAGGCAACATGAACAAGAAGTGGAACATGAGGCAACATAAACAAGAAGTGAAACATGAGGAAACATAAACAAGAAGTGAAACATGAGGCAACATGAACAAGAAATGAAACATGAGGCAACATGAACAAGACGTGAAACATGAGGCAACATGAACAAGAAGTGAAACATGGGGCAACATGAACAAGAAGTGAAACATGAGGCAACATGAACAAGAAGTAAAACATCATGCAATATTAGACACGATGAGAAACATTAGGCTACATTAACAAGATGTGAAACATGAGGCAACATGAACAAGAAGTGGAACATGAGACAACATGAACAAAAAGTGAAACATGAGGCAACATGAACAAGAAGTGGAACATGAGGCAACATAAACAAGAAGTGAAACATGAGGAAACATGAACAAGAAGTGAAACATGAGGCAACATGAACAAGAAATGAAACATGAGGCAACATGAACAAGACGTGAAACATGAGGCAACATGAACAAGAAGTGAAACATGGGGCAACATGAACAAGAAGTGAAACATGAGGCAACATGAACAAGACGTGGAACATGAGGCAACATGAAAAAGAAGTGAAACATGAGGCAACACGAACAAGAAGTGAAACATGAGGCAACATGAACAAGATGTGAAACATGAGGCAACATGAGCAAGATGTGAAACATGAGGCAACATAAACAAGAAGTGAAACATGAGGCAACATTAACAAGATGTGAAACATGAGACAACATTAACAAGATGTGAAAAATAAGGCAACATTAACAAGATGTGAAACATGAGGCAATATTAACAATATGTGAAACATGAGGCAACATGAACAAGAATTGGAACATGAGGCAACATGAACAAGAATTGGAACATGAGGCAACATGAACAAGAAGTGAAACATGAGGCAACATGAACAAGAAGTGGAACATGAGGCAACATGAAAAAGAAGTGAAACATAAGACAACATGAACAAGAAGTGAAACATGAGGCAACATGAACAAGAAGTGAAACATGAGGTAACATGAACAAGACGTGAAACATGAGGCAACATGAACAAGAAGTGAAACATGAACAAGAAGTGAAACATGAGGCAACATGAACAAGATGTGAAACATGAGACAACATTAACAAGATGTGAAAAATAAGGCAACATTAACAAGATGTGAAACATGAGGCAATATTAACAATATGTGAAACATGAGGCAACATGAACAAGAAGTGGAACATGAGGCAACATGAACAAGAATTGGAACATGAGGCAACATGAACAAGAAGTGAAACAAGAGGCAACATGAACAAGAAGTGAAACATGAGGCAACATGAACAAGAAGTGAAACATGAGGCAACATGAACAAGACGTGAAACATGAGGCAACATGAACAAGATGTAAAACATCATGCAATATTAGACACGATGAGAAACATTAGGCTACATTAACAAGATGTGAAACATGAGGCAACATGAACAAGAAGTGGAACATGAGGCAACATGAACAAAAAGTGAAACATGAGGCAACATGAACAAGAAGTGAAACATGAGGTAACATGAACAAGACGTGAAACATGAGGCAACATGAACAAGAAGTGAAACATGAACAAAAAGTGAAACATGAGGCAACATGAACAAGAAGTGGAACATGAGGCAACATAAAAAAGAAGTGAAACATGAGGCAACATGAACAAGACGTGAAACATGAGGCAACATGAGCAAGATGTGAGACATGAGGCAACATGAACAAGACGTGAAACATGAGGCAACATGAACAAGAAGTGAAACATGAGGCAACATTAACAAGATGTGAAACATGAGGCAACATTAACAAGATGTGAAAAATAAGGCAACATTAACAAGATGTGAAAAATAAGGCAACATTAACAAGATGTGAAACATGAGGCAATATTAACAATATGTGAAACATGAGGCAACATGAACAAGAAGTGGAACATTAGGCAACATGAACAAGAATTGGAACATGAGGCAACATGAACAAGAAGTGAAACATGAGGCAACATGAACAAGAAGTGAAACATGAGGCAACATGAACAAGAAGTGAAACATGAGACAACATGAACAAGATGTGAAACATGAGGCAACATGAACAAGATGTAAAACATCATGCAATATTAGACACGATGAGAAACATTAGGCTACATTAACAAGATGTGAAACATGAGGCAACATGAACAAGAAGTGGAACATGAGGAAACATGAACAAAAAGTGAAACATGAGGCAACATGAACAAGAAGTGAAACATGAGGCAACATGAACAAGAAGTGAAACATGAGGCAACATGAACAAGAAGTGAAACATGAGGCAACATGAACAAGAAGTGAAACATGAGGCAACATGAACAAGAAGTGAAACATGAGGCAACATGAACAAGACGTGAAACATGAGGCAACATGAACAAGAAGTGAAACATGAGACAACATGAACAAGAAGTGAAACATGAGGCAACATGAACAAACAGTGAAACATGAGTCAACATGAACAAAAAGTGAAACATCAGGCAACATGAACAAGACGTGAAACATGAGGCAACATGAATAAGAAGTGAAACATGAGGCAACATGAACAAGAAGTGAAACATGAGGCAACATGAACAAGAAGTGAAACATGAGGCAACGTGAACAAGAAATTAAACATGAGGCAACATGAACAAGACGTGAAACATGAGGCAACATGAACAAACAGTGAAACATGAGGCAACATGAACAAGAAGTGAAACATGAGGCAACATGAACAAAAGTGAAAACATGAGGTCAACATGAACAAAAAGTGAAACATGAGGCAACATGAACAAGATGTGAAACATGAGGCAACATGAACAAGATGTTTAAAGTGAGGCAACATGAAACAAGATGTGAAACATGAGGCAACATGAAACATGAGACAAACATGAGGCAACATGAACAAGATGTGAAACATGAGGCAACATGAACAAGAAGTGAAACATGAGGCAACATGAACAAGATGTGAAACATGAGGCAACATGAAGAAAATGTGAAACATGAGGCAACATGAACAAGAAGTGAAACATGAGGCAACATGAACAAGAAGTGACACATGAGGCAACATGAACAAGACATGAAAAGTGAGGCAACATGAAGAAGATGTGAAACATGAGGCAACATGAACAAGAAGTGAAACATGAGGCAACATGAAGAAGATGTGAAACATGAGGCAACATGAACAAGAAGTGAAACATGAGGCAACATGAACAAGAAGTGAAACATGAGGCAACAAGAAGTGAACAAGAAGTGAAACATGAGGCAACATGAAACAAGATGTGAAACATGAGGCATGAACAAGAAGTGAAACATGAGGCAACATGAACAAGATGTGAAACATGAGGCAACATGAACAAGAACAAGTGAAACATGATGCAACATGAACAGAAGTGAACATGGCAACATTAACAAGATGTGAAACATGAGGCAACATGAACAAGACGTGAAACATGAGGCAACATGAACAAAAAGTGAAACATGAGGCAACATGAACAAGAAGTGAAACATGAGGCAACATGAACAAGAAGTGAAACATGAGGCAACATGAACAAGAAGTGAAACATGAGGCAACATGAACAAGAAGTGAAACATGAGGCAACATGAACAAAGAAGAGAAACATGAGGCAACATGAACAAGAAGTGAAACATGAGGCAACATGAACAAGAAGTGAAACATGAGGCAACGTGAACAAGAAGTGAAACATGAGGCAACATGAACAAGACGTGAAACATGAGGCAACATGAACAAACAGTGAAACATGAGGCAACATGAACAAGAAGTGAAACATGAGGCAACATGAACAAACGGAGAAACATGAGTCAACATGAACAAAAAGTGAAACATGAGGCAACATGAACAATATGTGAAACATGAGGCAAACTTGAACAAGATGTTTAAAGTGAGGCAACATGAAGAAGATGTGAAACATGAGGCAACATGAACAAGAAGTGAAACATGAGGCAACATGAAGAAGATGTGAAACATGAGGCAACATGAACAAGAAGTGAAACATGAGGCAACATGAACAAGACGTGAAACATGAGGCAACATGAACAAGAAGTGACACATGAGGCAACATGAACAAGACGTGAAACATTAGGCAACGTGAACAAGAAGTGAAACATGAGGCAACATGAACAAGAAGTGAAAAATGATGCAACATGAACAAACAGTGAAACATGAGGCAACATGAACAAAAAGTGAAACATGAGGGAACATGAACAAAAAGTGAAACATGAGGCAACATGAACAAGATGTGAAACATGAGGCAACATGAACAAGATGAGAAAAAGGTCTACCACAAACAACCTTCACAGTTGTGCCCTATATGAGTCCCCCTGCAGGCCCCACACCTGCCTGTAATGTGGTGACAACGGCGGTTTAAACAGTTGGATGAGCAGTTCATTGCGCACTGGCTGCCGTATGTTCCCTGGCTGCACTCTGAGGGAGTTAGTGAGAGTTTGATGAAAGAAGCAGTCTGTATATAATCACAGAAACAGTACAGATATTATTGTAATTATTTCACGTCCTTTTTAGGATGCAATTTTTCGTTATTTGAAGCCCTATTATGGCTCTTACCAGGGGCCGCAATATAGCCCGGCCATAAATATGGCCAAATGGCTGAACGCGGTTTCTGGGACCTTTCCACATGGTGGCACATTGTGTCATCGGGTGTTTATCGCTTGTGTGATGTCCTGGTGGGGTAGAAAGTCAGTCAGTCAGATATCATCAAAGAGACAGCAAATATCATTAGAAAATAAAAGGTGCCGATGTAACGAGAGAGGTGGTGCGGACATCATTATAGAAAAAGTGTGGAGATAATGAGAGAAGCAGTGCTGATACAACAAGGGAGACAAAGTGGGGATGTAATGAGAGAAACAGTTTTGCTGTAATGAAATAACAATGCTGAACTAATGAAAGGAGCAGCATGGATAAAATGAGAGAAACAGTGTGGATATAATAAGACAGATAGTGAGATTATGTAAAGACAAAGAGCGAGGAGACAATAAGTAAAGCAAACGTCCATTTTCCACGACTTCAGGCATATTGGAAAAATAGGCCTAGACACATAATTTTATAGACCAATCGGTGGATGATGTAATTAGCATCACGCCGGGCGCCTTTATTTTACTGGACTGTACCCGGTACCCACTCAAGACTGCGTCGACCTGGGAGTCAAGGCCATTTTTAAAGAAAAAAAAAAAAGTCCGATCCGCCAGGGCGCGAACTCTCGATCTTCCGATCCGCAGAAGAGCATCTAGCCGTCAACGCCACGGCGACTTCCCAGGGAACAATTTAAATGATTAAAAAAACGTGCTGAAGATCTTTTTTTTTTTAAAGACTGGTTACCAGTCCTCTCTGTAAGTCGGTCCCCACCCCCCTTTCCCCTATTCACAGGTGTCCCTCCAACATTTCCTCATTTATATTTCTACACATACACACATTTGTAAATATACAGCGTCATATCAAGCGCCATGGTAGATTTTAAAACAGAAGACATGGTATCAAGAAGGAGGGGCAGGGGCTGACCAACATAAAGATGGGCACGGGCTAGAAGCGACTTCTTCAATTTAAAGTACAAGAGACAGGAGAGCCGGCGAGAGACCGAGTCTCTTAAAGGCAGACCATGATAAGAGCAAAGGACCTTCTGCAAAGGACCTGCTACATGATGATATGCAGAGTGTGTATGAGTCTGGTGGTACGTGTGTAAAGTCAATGACTCTTTTTCACGCCCTCAAACGTGTTGGGCTTATAGGGCTACATCTATATTTTACAGAACAATCGGCACTCAATGGATGATGTGGCCAACATCAAGTCTGATGCCTTTATTTCCCTCGACTTTTTCCGGTACCCATTTAGGGCAGGGTGTGTATACCATGTGGCATTGTGGCTAACCAACCTGTACACTTGGGCTGCCGGTATCCAGTGGAGCACTCACAGTACCCATCTATAGGATCGCACTCGTTAATGCAGAACTCGGAGCATATCTGTTCGCAGCTTTCACCATATGTCCCGGAGTTACAATCTGCAACCCACACAAAAATTAGTTAGCCAGTCACAACCATCAATCTGTTAGCCACAAACATCGGTCAGTACGCGACAAACATCGATACGTCAGCCTGCCCGGATGGGCTCTGAGGTCCTGTTTTTTGGAAAAGAAGAATAGACCCACTGCCTACTCAAAAGCATGTCGTAAGGGTCGACTAATTAGGAGCTTCCTTCAAAGTCAGAGTGCAACTGCCTAGGAGGCAAGGAACCAGTAGTCAGCATACAAATGAGCCAGATCTGTATAACGGATGCACACGCAACACTCGGGTTCTGGAATAGGACTGCAGTCCAAGAGTGGATGAACAACCAGAACTTTTCGCCAGAGTTTGCGTCTGGTGAACGAGAAGAAAAAGACGAAGAATCAGTCAGCCACAAACAACAATCAGTCAGTAATAAACATTATTCAGTCAGCCACAACCATCAATCAGCCGACCACAAACGTCAATCAGTCAGCCACAAACAACAATCAGTCAGCCACAAACAACAATCAGTCAGAGATAAACATTATTCCGCCAGCCACAACCACCAATCAGCCGGCCACAAACGTCAATCAGTCAGCCACAAACAACAATCAGTCAGAGATAAACATTATTCCGCCAGCCACAACCACCAATCAGCCGGCCACAAACGTCAATCAGTCAGCCACAAACAACAATCAGTCAGAGATAAACATTATTCCGCCAGCCACAACCACCAATCAGCCGGCCACAAACGTCAATCAGTCAGCCACAAACAACAATCAGTCAGTGATAAACATTATTCAGTCAGCCACAACCATCAATCAGCCGGCCACAAACGTCAATCAGTCAGCCACAAACAACAATCAGTCAGTGATAAACATTATTCAGTCAGCCACAACCATCAATCAGCCGACCACAAACGTCAATCAGTCAGCCACAAACAACAATCAGTCACCCACAAACAACAATCAGTCACCCACAAACAACAATCAGTCAGTGATAAACATTATTCCGCCAGCCACAACCACCAATCAGCCGGCCACAAACGTCAATCAGTCAGCCACAAACAACAATCAGTCAGAGATAAACATTATTCAGCCAGCCACAACAATCAATCAGCCGGCCACAAACGTCAGTCAGTCAGCTACAAACAACAATCAGTTATAGGAATGATCTGAGGTCAAAATTGTAATTTCTTTTCCTTGCGGCTGGTGAAATGTTTGAGGTCGTTGAGTTCTCACGTGGGAGAGAAACGCTGCAATCTGCGGTAATGTTCTGATGTATTTTCTGTTAGGGCAAAAACAAAATCCTTACCTGCACAGACCGTAGCAAACTCCTTCTTCTTCTTCTTCTCATTTTCTTCAGCCTCTTCCTTTTTCTACTCCTATAATACCCTGCAGCGCAAAGGCAGGAAAATATCTCTGGAACCGGCACTTCTCTTCGCTTCATGTATAGTACTACTAAGTATCTCCAAAATGTCTGCGGTCAGTCTTGTGTGTGTGTGTGCGCACGCGTGCGTGCGTGTGTGTATATGTGTATGTGTGTGTAGGTTACTACCAGTGTGCCATGATCATCCGTTGTTTAAACTTCAAACTTCTGTTGTGTGGTAAACCTACAGTTGTGTTACCACAGTATCCATATTGCATTGCATGGGGTGTCCTGTCTGTTGCCAGTCTCGTTACTTGGCGAAACCATTTGATCTGCTGTCTCCCAAAACCTTTCAGTAGTGGTTGGATTTTTCTCCTGAAATCATTGTGTCTAAGTCGGTTTTTTTCTTTCTTTTTCTTGTTTCACTTAGCACAGTGGTCGGCAAATTCATTAGACTTGGCATTTAGACTCTGTCAGTCGACAGAGGGTCATTGGCAGACATTTCGGAAACTTTGGCTTTCAAGGGTTGAGATTTGTTTTTTCCCACTAGAGACTCAGACCAGCATACCGACCAATCAATTTCAGCACCAACAAGATCGTAAAAAGAAGGGTGAGAATAATTAAAACAGCAGAAGCACGAAAATGAGTCATAGTCGTGTAAACAATAAGCAGGAACATACATCCCAATATCAGAAGCTTCAAATAAAGTATCTTTCTTTTTCTCCTGCAGCTCATCTGTGGAACCAACTTCCACAACCAATTAAAAATATCAAAAAACCCCTATAAATACAATTGGAAGCTTTTTGAATATTATCTCACTTCAGACTACATGCCCCCTTAGAAGATAAAGTTTCCTAAGAACAATGTTGTTTTCCACCAATATAGATTATATTTAGTATTATAATTGTTTTAAAATGTAGGCATACTTAGAGTACCTTGTTACAAACATGTTATTGATGATGCCTGTATTTATCATTACTATTATTATTATTACTATCTTCTAAAACAATGTGTGCATAAATAATGTATGCATGGCGTGAAGCCAGGATGTAAGACGGGCCTGTGTGCCCAATTTTTAACCCTTTGAAAATAAAGTTTGTTTGTTCGTTCGTTCCTTCCTTCCTTCCTTGTCATAAAAATTCGGGTAGGAAAAAAAACCCGCATCAAACCCCATATCCTCACGACATAAATACCCCAACAACTAGTAAATATTCAAATGTGCGCTCATTAATATATTATTACATTACAGAAGATCGTCGGTTCAAGTCCTGAGGGAGCCGGGTTTTTTTTCTTCTTCAGAAATTAGCTTCGCTCTCAGATCGACCCAGCCTTGCGTTGAGTAGGTAACAGGTGCAGTCATGGGAAGTAAAGGAGGCCGGCGTGATGCTGACCACATCTACCACAAAGTGCTAACTGATCTATAAAATATAGGTCTTGCCCTATATGCCCAACACACCTAAAGGCGTGGGATATCCTATACTTTACTTTTATATTACTACATCATCATCAACATAATGAAGCAAGTCCTTTTGCAGAACGTTGCTCTCAATACAGCACGTCAGGAAGCTACTGGGTTCCTTGTTCACTTTCTTCATCTGGTTAATTTTCATGTTGAGGGTGCCAGTGTCAAAGTGTGTCCACTCTCGTGTCACTGCTTCTTCCAGAACACCGGTTTTCAAGCAAAGAAGATCAGGACAGGCTTCGTGCAGAGTGGGATGCCTCGCTGGGGAAGACATGACTGAGGGGTATTGTCTAGATTTTTACACCAGGGTATGCCGGTGTGTTGGGAAATGAACAGGCGGACAGACTGGCTGGCTCTGCACAGCTTGGTGGAATACTGATGCATGATAAGGCAGACGTGGTTAGTGCCTTGTGGGAGAGCTTGTACAGTTCGGAGGAGCAGATTGATCACCAGTGTGGTGAGTTTGGTGCAGTTGGGGTGACGAAAAGTTCTGGCAGATGCTTGAGGCTCAGAGGAAGGGCAAGACGGCTGTTAAATCAGAATGCTACTGGCACCATTAGTATCGGAACTCTTCGCTGGCTGCTGAAGATGGGGACGGAGCGCTTATGGAATGCCCCGAGTGCTGTGATGTCTGTTTTTGAATCAAATCAAATAAAATCATTTTTTTTAAGGTATGAAGTAGCAACGGACATAATTGTATAGCTGTTGGTCGCCACAACATAGAGAACTGTACTGAAGGCGCGACATTAAAAAGGTCGAGAACTACTGGTCTAGACTTTAGGGTCTGGGATGATCGTATATCCCGTTTTCACCCTGCCAGTCCCATATTTTAGGGCTTCTTCAACTGCCTCGTCGATCTCAAGAAAATATTTATAAAAAAACCGCAAATCCTCCCGTTTTATAAAAACTAAGGAATTTGTTCTTAAAATATATTAGTTTATAAAATAATGATAATAATAATACATTCAACAATATATTGTGGGAGGGAATGGAACAGACTTGCTTGGATTGACCCATTTGAGCTCAAAATATTAGTGTAATTTCACGTTTTCAGCTCAACATATTATGGTCACCCTAGGAATCACATCGGCGTCTGTGACTTAGGATTTGCGAACTCGCTGTTTGATCCCAGCTGCGGAAGATTTGTCTTGCATTGGTTTCGACAGTTCTACCGAGCGCTGACCGTCCAGTAAAAGCAATGGCAAACTGGTTAGTTGCGTGTCCTTTACAGAACGTTGCAGAACCAACCCCAACAGCCCCTGGCTGTAATGTGGTTTTTCTAGACAAATTTACGTCCAGTAGTTTGCCATTGCTTTCAAGACATTCGGCTTTCTGATACCACTGTCGAAACCAACGCAAGGTGCATGGCCCGCAGCAGGGATCGAACCCAGCATTCCGGCATTATGAAGCGTTCGCATCGACTTAGTCACAAAACCGACAATGGCAATCTACTGAACGTAAAATTTGCCTAGAAAAACACTGCTGGGGTTGGATCTGCAAAGGATACGTAACTAACTACCTTTGAAGACTCACACATATTTGGAGGGAAAAAAAAAAACACACACAACACACTAACAAAACAATCAGAAGAAGGTATTACCGTCGTTACAGCCGTCTCCTTTGTAGCCGGGCGGACATCTATAACACTGTCCGGACACTTGAAGGCAAGGGTCTTCGTGACAGGACGAGTTACACACCAAGCCACACTGAAACCCGTAGTAGCCGACTGGACACCCTGGGGCGCACTTGCCGGTTGCCACATTGCACACTTCGTGACCTTTACATTGGCACCGTTTCTGGCAGGATAGCCCATGGTGCAGATCAGGGCAGACATATTCTAGTTAGACGTAAGATGGCGGCAACAATTATTTGTGACTGTATATTTACGACTGCAGAAGTTGAGGATGCAATACATCATATCAAGAAAGGAAAAGCACCAGGGCCAGACAACATCTCACTGGAAGAAATTGAAGCACTAGGAGATTTTGGAACTGAAATAATAACTAAACTTCTAAATGATATTTATAATAGTGGGTATATTCCAAATCACCTTTTAAAATCCATATTTATAGCTCTGCCAAAGAAACCAGGCACTTTAAAATGTGAAGACCATCGCACAATAAGTCATATGAGTCACATGACTAAGATTTTACTGAGAAAAATTATGAGAAGAATAAGAAACAAAATTAAACCAGAAATCAGCGAGGAACAATGTAGATTTGTAGAAGGAAAAGATACAAACAATGCCATATACATCATAATGACATTGTCAGAAAGAGCTATAGAAGTAAAGACTGATTTGTACTTAGCTTCACAGACTATACAAAAGCATTTGACTGTGTGAAGCATGAAGAAGTATTCAAACTGTTAGAAAAATTAAACATTGATGGAAAAGATCTACGAATAATAAAGAATATGCATTTGCAGCAAACAGCAGCTATAAGAATTAACAACTGTTTAGGTATATTTCAAAGCATAAAGAGGGGCGTAAGACAAGGATGTGTACTATCACCTGATTTGTTTTTAACATACAGTGAATATATAATGAGAGCTTTAATTGATATGCCCGGAAATGTGGTTGGTGGGCACAATATAAACAAGTTACGTTATGTTGATGACACAGTCTTGATAGAAACAAGTTAGAAAGAACTACAGGAAATGATCGACATTGTGGTGTTAGAAAGTTGAAGAATGGGCCTCAGTTCGAATAATGGGAAGACAGAAGTATTGATGGTATCAAAGAAACGAATTATTCCTAAATGTGTAATAAAAGTCGATAGTGTTATTTTAGGACAATTACAAAAATTTAAGTATCTGGGAGGAACATGGATAACATCAGATGGAAGATGCATAACTGATATAAGAAACAGAATAGGACAGGCAAAAACTGCATTTTATAAAATGAAGAGCATCTTGTGCAATATATCCTTGTCATTGAGAGTTAGAAAAAGAAATCTTGCTTGCTACATACATCCAGTTTTAACATGTGGCTGTGAATCCTGGACAATCGGTAGGCAGGCCAAACAATTTCTTAAGGCCTCAGAGACGTGGTTTTACAGAAGGATGCTTAGAATACCTTGGACAGCCAAAAAGAGCAACCAAGAGGTTTTGAAAGAGGCGGGAGCCCGATGACAACTTATCACAGACATCAAAAGGAGACAGTCTTCCTTTTTCGGCCATGTTACAAGAAGAGGGAAAATAGAACATGTTGTGACCACTGGAAAGATCTGTGGAAGGAGGGATAGAGGTAGACAACGAGGGCAGATTCTTGACAGTCTTGTTGCATGGCATGGAGGAGTGTCGGCACACGAACTGATACATGCCGCAGGAGATCCTGGATTATGGAGAGGCATAATCGCCCACGCTTGTCGGCACGGCACCTGATGTTGATGATGATATTTACGAGTGCGTGTTTGTATGAGTGTGAATTTAAGGGTGTGTATATATTTATCAGTGTTTGTATTTATGGGTGTTTGTGCAACATGCATGTGTGTAGGAATATCGGTGTACGTTTGTGTATGCATATATGAGTACTTGTGGGTATGTATGAGAATGTGTGCACGAGTGTGAGAGTAAGCATCTGTGTCTGTGCATATGTGTGACTGAATGACTGTGAATCTATGTATGTGAAGGTATGTATTATTATTGTGTATGTATAAGAGTGCATGAATGTACTGTATGTATCAGCGTAGGTGTCTTGTTTCTGTGTGTGCGTGTGTGTAATTGTGTGTGTGTTTATAATAGTATAGTTAAATGTGAATAAATAACTGAGTGTGCCTGGAGTCTGTCTGTGTGTGTGTGTGTGTGTGTGTGTAGTATGTGTTAGTGTGTATTGGTATGGGTAAATGTGCATAGATGAATGAGCGTGCCTGGATTCTGTGTGTGAGTGTGTATGTAAATGTATGTACACATATCACTATGAGTATATATGTACACATGACAAAGTTTACTTGCGGTTTAAGTATATATGTTTTCTTCTTCTTCTCCTTCTCTTCTACTTCTTCTTCTTTCTCTTCTTCTTCTTCTTTTTCTTGTTCTTCTTCTTCTCCTCCTTCTTCTCCTTCTGCTCCTTCTCATTTTTCTCCTCCTTGCCCTTCTTCTTCTTCGTCTTCTTCTTCTTCAAAGCCTTCTCATCTCCTTGCTGCTGCTGCTTCTTCTTCTTCTCCTTCTTCATCTTTTTCTTCTTCTTCTTCTTTTTCTTCTTCTTCTTCTTCTTCTTCTTCTTCTTCTTCTTCTTCTTCTTCTTCTTCTTCTTCTTCTTCTTCTTCTTCTTCTTCTTCTTCTTCTTCTTCTTCTTCTCTTCCTTCTTCTTCTACTACTACTACTTCTTCTTCTTCTTCTTCTTCTTCTTCTTCTTCTTCTTCTTCTTCTTCTTCTTCTTCTTCTTCTTCTTCTTCTTCTTCTTCTTCTTCTTCTTTTTCTTCTTCTTCTTTTTCTTTTTCTTCTTCTACTTCTTTTTCTTCTACTTCTTCTTCTGCCTACTTCTTGTTCTTTTTTCTTCTTTTTCTGTCTGCTGTCTTTTCTTTATTTTCTTCTTCTGTCTACTTCTTCTTTTTCTTCTTCTGTCTTTTTCTTCTCTTTCTTTCTTTCTTTCTTCTTCTTTTTCTATTCCTCCGTACACTGCTTATGTGTGAGTGTGTTTATGTATGTGTGTGTGTGTGTGTGTGTGTGTATATATATATATATATAAAATTTACAATCTACATACTCCCTTTACATGTAATTATACAGAATATATAACTCAAGCTCACTTCTACACAAAGAGACCTTACATGTTAGTATATAAAAAGTACAGCTCACATTGCACACTTTACCTCTACGTAAAGACACTTTATCTGCAGTTAAATATACAGAACGCACAACCTAGAACTCACCTCCAAAAACAAACACCTCACACATGCTCAGTGCCATCCCATAGCCACCCTTAATCTTGACTGTTTGGGTCGGCAGGTGAGACAGGAGAATGAAGTCATAGGGTTCAAACGTGGCATCTTTAGCTGCTGAACTCCGCCATATCTCAATAAGGTTCCCGCTGGAGCTATGGGTGCTTAAAGTAAACCCACCCGTGATCTCTCTGTCATCTGTGGACATATTATGTGGATGTGGATATGGTATGTGGATGTAACTCTCTGAGTACCAAGCGACGCATCATGGTTCTCCTGGTTGTTTTTTGTTGTTGTTTTTGTTTGCCGTAACAGATAAGTGCTACATTAACTGACTGAATCAGAAGCTAAACTCCTTCTGATGGGTGTGTCTAGTGGAACTCCTGAAGACCCACACGTTTAATACTTTGAATAATAATGTCCTGGTTTTAGAACGATTCGTCTGGGACGACAAGACATACAGATGTGTAGTTATTAGTCTAACTGTAGCTGAGTACTAGGAAACGATGGAGATATGTTGTAAATGCGACAAATTGTAGCCGGGAAGACAGGATGTCATTGTGCCTAACTGTAGCTGAGTACTAGGAAACGATGGAGATGCGTTGCAAGTGCGACAAATCGTAGCCGGGAAGATAGGATGTCATTGCGCCTAACTGTAGCTGAGTACTAGGAAACGATGGAGATATATTGCAAGTGCGACAAATTGTAGCCGGGAAGATAGAATGTCATTGCGCCTAACTGTAGTTGAGAACTAGAAGACGATAAAGATTTGTAAATACGACAAATTGTAGCCGGGAAGATAGAATGTCATTGCGCCTAACTGTAGTTGAGAACAAAAAGACGATGGAGATCTGTTGTCACTGCATCTAGTTGTAGATGAGATCGAGGAGATTATAGAAAAATGTTTTCATTGCATCGAGTTGTAGCGGGGAACATAGAGAGGATGAAGATATGAAGTCATTGTGTCTAGCTTTAGTTCAGAACTAGAAGACAATAGAGAAATGTATTTATTATGTCTAGTTGTAGTAGTTAAGAACAATAACATTAAGAAAGAGACAAACACTGTTCTTTGGCCACGTAATGAGAGGACAGGCATTTGAGAACATCGTGACAACTGGAAAGATCAGTAGGAAAGGGATTAGAGGCAGACAGAGAGAGATGATACTGAATAGGCAGAAACGATGGCATGGAGGGTATCATCAAGAGAACTATTCCAGGCAACCAGGGAGCGTGATCTGTAGAGATGCATGAGCGCCTACGCCAGCTGGCAGGGCAACATGATGATGATGTGTTGAAGTAGAGAACTAGAAGGTGACGGAGATATGAAGTCAATGCGTCTAGCTGTAGGTCAGAACTAGGAGAAAATAGAGTAATGTATTTATTGTGTCTTGTTGTAGTAGAGAACTAAAACGTGACGGAGATATGTAGTCACTGCCTCTAGCTGTAGGTCAGAACTAGTAGACAATAGAGTAATGTATTTATTGTGTCTTTTTATAGTAGAGAACTAGAACGTGACGGAGATATGTAGTCACTGCGTCTAGTTGTAGGTCAGAACTAGTAGACAATAGAGTAATGTATTATTGTGTCTTGTTGTAGTAGAGAACTAGAAGGCGACTGAGATATGTAGTCACCGAGTCTAGCTGTAGGTCAGAACTAGTAGACAACAGAGTAATGTATTTATTGTGTCTTGTTGAAGTAGAGAACTAGAAGGCGACGGAGATATGTAGTCACTACGTCTAGCTGTAGTTCAGAACTAGTAGACAATAGAGTAATGTATTTATTGTGTCTTGTTGTAGTAGAGAACTAAGATGCGACGGAGATATGAAGTCACTGCCTCTAGCTGTAGGTCAGAACTAGGAGACAATAGAGTAATGTATTTATTGTGTCTTGTTGTAGCTGAGAACTAGGATATGATGGAAATGTGCTGCCATTGTGTTTAGTTATAGTCTCTTGCTACCCTAAAATTTGGAATATTTGGTCTAATTTCTCAGTGAGGACATTACAACCTTCTTTGAAAACTTCCACGGGAATCAAATCAAGTCCAGGAGTTTTTTTTTTTGTCTCTAGAAGAGTTGGTGTTTTATTTGGGCTGCATTCATAAGGACCTGGGGCAAACCGTTTAAAGTTTCTTTTTTTTTATGGATGACTGTAGGTTCAGGATGTTACTGAAGTGTTCAGCTTAACGTGGGAGGCTTGCATCGTTATCAGTGAGTGGTGAATTTCCAAGGAGTTTCAAGGAAAGACAGAATACGAAATCACGAATTCAGACTAATGCTAGGAATAAAGCAAGTCTTAAAGGTCATCAAAAAACAAATGAAATGGTTTGGACAATTAAAAAGAATGCATTGGTACTATCTACCACAGCGAGCCACACTAAAACGCTACAACGGGTATAGAGCGAGTGGAAGACCTCGGAAACGATGAAGTGGGCGCAATAAGAACAGCCTTACAAGAATGAACATCAGTCTTAACAAACATCTTCCACCACCCCCCACCCCCTTTTCCAACACTTCGATGAGGTACAAGGTGGAAGAGAAGAAGAAGAAGAAGAAGAAGAAGAAAAAGAAGAAGAAGAAGAAGAAGAAGAAGAAGAAGAAGAAGAAGAAGAAGAAGAAGAAGAAGAAGAAGAAGAAGAAGAAGAAGAAGAAGAAGAAGAAGAAGAAGAAGAAGAAGAAGAAGAAGAAGAAGAAGAAGAAGAAGAAGAAGAAGAAGAAGAAGAAGAAGAAGAAGAAGAAGAAGAAGAAGAAGAAGAAGAAGAAGAAGAAGAAGAAGAAGAAGAAGAAGAAGAAGAAGAAGAAGAAGAAGAAGAAGAAGAAGAAGAAGAAGAAGAAGAAGAAGAAGAAGAAGAAGAAGAAGAAGAAGATAAAGATAAAGAAGAAATAGAAGAAGTGAATTTCCATCTTTGCTGAAGCCTGTACCAACTTCGGTCTACTAAAATTAATAAAACTGTTGTTATCTATCAACAGGCTCACAGAAAAAGAAAAATTACTGTGGTCCCACTATTACTTGGCCACGGAATTTTTTTTTCCCTAAAATTTTGCATCTGAGCTACCAACAGTAAAATGCCAACAAAATGGGGTCCGTAAAGCTCCTTTATACTACTGGGGTCAATGCAAGCCTCCGACCCATTATTTGTATAAACTGGGTGTCGTGAGTCTCATTTTCTCCCAGATAATTTATGCCCGACAGATGACGTCAGTAATAAATGTGAGTGGAATATTTTGACTCTAACTGGGACGACACGGGAATTCTTGAGTCTAAACTTCAAACTAGTCTCTTTGCGTGAAGTATAATTATTCACGTGAAGAGAAATGTTGACTGTCGAACTTCATGCGAAGTTCGATGAATCACGTGCCAAACACAACTGCCGGCCAAATGGAAGTCGTGAGACAGAAGGGACACGGAGTATTCGGGGAAAAACGAAGCGGGGATTAGAAGGGTATATAATACCGTAGAAAGGGCTGAGGGGGAGTCTCGTTTGGGCCCAGGAACAGAGTGCATGGACAACGGTGGATGATGTGTGGATTCAACATGTGTTTGAGTGTTTTTGTTCCTCCAACGTCCAACTTGGCAAAACGGACTGGCAGGCAATATGTCCGCGGGCCGTGTTAGTTTTTCTGTCAGGACAGCTGTTGTGTTTTTCGTTCATGATGCTAGTGTAGGACGATTGTGATTTCGGATAGAAGGTAATAATTGATACTTTTGATATTTGAGTTATAATGTGTGCCTGGACAGTAGTCTATTTCATGTGCCAGCTGAGAAAGCCGCGAGTAGAAGATTAAAGTGCTTAACAGTATCGTGTTGTTTTTACAGTCGTCCATTTTCTGCTCGTCGTGTGATGTCGGTATGTGAGATAGCCAGCGTGCGATGATGCGAGCCAGATAGCAGACAAATGAGAGTCATCGCACTGGGTGTTCCCTCATACCTGTAACGATAGTCTCTGAAACTGAATATTTACGGTCTCTATTACGTCTATTTATAATTCAGGGTTACATGGAGACGAAAATATGTAGACATCACGCCCAGGTGTAGTTTAGAACTATGAGATGAGAGTGTGATGCAGTCATTGCCATTTGTTGTAGCTGATAAACTAGGAGATGACGAAGATATATACAGTCACTGTGTCTATCTGGTTGAGAAGATTTTTGGGAAATAGTGCATCTGCAAAGGAAAGTCGAAAATTATCCACACTTTTGATGTCACTCTTCATACATTGTCCACACTGAGGTCTGTCCTCGCTCATTGTTTTGTTAAGCTGTTGTGGTAATGATATGAAAGCTTGATCCTAATTACGTAATGTTTCTCTTCTTTTGTTGCAGATAGATCATCGCCGCTCTATTAGACGTTTGAACCAAAAAGAAACAACGAGCAGTGATACGATTCCCCTGGTTGGAAAAAAGGCGGACAGATTGGCTGGCTCTGCACAACTTGGTGGAATACTGATACATGATAAAGCTGACGTGGTTAGTTCCTTGTGGGAGAGCCTGTACAGTTCAGAGGAGCAGATGGATCATCATGGTCTGGTGAGATTGATGCAGCGGGAAGAGATGAGAGGTTTTGGCAGATGCTCGAGGCTCAGAGGAAAGGCAAGACAGACGAATGACAGAAAGCCACTGGCACCATTAGTATCGGAACTCTTTGCTGGCTGCTGAAGATGTCGGTTCTTGAATAAAATAAAATAAAATAAAATAAAATAAAATCAATCTGGTTGGAAAGTGTCAAGAGTTCAGAAATATCTCGAAGACTGTGATCGCAATATGGGAGAAGTGCACTATCACGTAAAAACGTTGGTTTTTGCAGATCGAGAAGTTTAAAGTGATCGAAAAAAAGTGAAACGTAAGAAGAGGGAGAAGGCAGCCATCAACTTCCACTACAGATGACAACATCAGCAAGTCTGAGAAATGATTCTTGCCAATAGGCGAGTTATCATCGATTAGGGAACATGTGTAATAAAAGTCATGGTTCTGCCCATCAAACCATTTAGGCAGAGCACGGCTTTCATAAAATCTCTGCACGATGGGTACCTTCGTAAAAATTTATTTCGTCAAGAAACAGATATCCAAGCCTCGATTTCGAATGGGTTTAAACGGACAATGAAACTGGAACCTTAAAGGACTTTCTAGATTTGGGACTTGTTTACTCTAATTCTCCAATTTTTTTTTTAGTCTATAAAAAGTCATAGAAGCATATATCCCTGGACTCTGACAACCCATATTTAACTTACTTATCATCATCATCAGGTGCCTTGCCTACTGGCCTCTCCATGATCTACAATCTCTTGCAGCATGTATCAGTTCGTGTGCTGACACACTTCCATGCCATGCAACAAGACTGTCAAGAATCTTCTCTCGTTGTCTTCCTCTAACCCTCCTTCCACAGATAACTAACCCATACACTTATATCACCAGAGACGGAAGTCCTAACAAAGGGTAACCTTACCTTCACTGCTGTACACAAGGATCCTGTACAAGACAGACGGGTGAGCCAGAGTCACATTCCATTCCTGACTCCGAAGCCCTTGCTCTGTATGCGAACAGTAACCCAGGTTGTTGTTTGCTTCCTTCCTGCCATCCACCGCATTGGTGGCCTTATTGAGCTCCATGGGGGTTGCTGTCGAAGTCTGCTGGGCTCGCTGCTTTAGAGCAATATTGCGACCTGGAAGCAGTCGGAATAATGGATTAGGTTATGTTAAACTATCAGCATGTGCCCTGTCGATCAGCGTAGGCTGCCAGGGCTATTCAACTAAATTTACTTAGGGATCCAAATGTTAAAAATTAGGATCGTCAGGGGCCAGAGGCCCAACGCCCAACACAGAAAGACTATTAATGCAGCACAAATGGTATTGATCAGCGGACCACTTGCTATGCCCCTGCGAGCCATATTTGGCCCGCAAACCGCCATTTGAAGAGCCCTGGCGTAAGTGGTCATAGCTCGCCATCCCACATGATCACCAGAAGCTTAGATTAGATCTCTGCTCTTGCTCTGTCCCGTTATATGGCTGCGACATTAAGATGTTTATCTATGTATCTTCACTTTGCGGTTTCCTAATCACTACTGCCAGGTGTTAGTCATTATATAGATACTACTAATTAAAACGGAGTGGTTTCCCAACCTTTAGAATATCAGTCTGCTGAAAGTATAGCTGCGTCTGTGGTTTAAGCGTTGCAAATGGGCTTTGTAATGCGGGGGTGCCGGGTTCTACTCAAACTGCGGACGATTTGTCTTGCGTTGGTTTCGACAGTGTTTAAAAAAAAAAAGTAAAGTATAGGACCCTCTTCTACACCTTTAGGCATATAGGGCTAGACCTATATTTTTATAGACCAATCGGCACAAGATGGGTGATGTGGTCAGCATCACGCCGGCCGCTTTTACTTCCCGGGACTGCACCCGGCACCCATTCAAGGCTGGGTCGACGTGGGAGCCAAGGTCCTTTTTGAAAAAAGTCTGGCTCTGCCAGGAAGCGAACCCACGACCTTCCGATCCGCACGCGAGCGTCTAGCCGCTACGCCACGGCGACTCCCGGTAATAAGACAAAGAAGATAATAACATAGTGGGCACGCTCTGTGGAGAAAGGATCTGAGTATCAATATTTAAAAAAAAGGGTAAAGGACACGTCTCAACGCCTTCAGGCCTATTGTGGATATGTTTTACAGACTAACCGGCACTCGGTGGGTGATGGTGCCGAACACATTGGTTCATCGCAGTCCGCTGCAAGCGATGCAGCGGTGCACAATCGACTCTCAATGCGAAAAGCAAGACGGACATATCATTTGCTTCTGGTACCATTGGTACTGAAACTCGGCACTGACTGCTGAAGAAGGGGACCGAGCGCTTATGGAAATGCCCCGACTGCTGTGTAGTTGTTTCTTGAAATAACTCAACGCAACGTTTCTTGAAATAACGCAACTATCTATGATGCAATACTTATGACAACAAAAGAACAGTACCTGCACTGACATATATGGTGCATACGTGGGGCGCTACCAGTCCTTCGAGCGTGAGCACTTTGACGAGTACTGTAGTATCACAGGAGACGTCGACTATGGTTGGGCTGATCGTGTAGCGTCTTTCTTTGACACAGCTGTTGGCCACATCATTGAGTTTCACCTTGAACTTCTGCAAAACTGCTGGAGAGAGATCACAAGTGACAAGGAAAGTAACTGCTTATTCCCCATGGATCAAAAAGACTTTTCAGCAAGTGTTATAAAGGTAACTGTTCATTCTATATGGATCAAACAGACTTTTCAACAATTGATATAAAGGTAACTGCTCATTCTACATGGATCAAACAGACTTTTTAACAAGTGAGATAAAGGTAACTACACATTCTACGTGGATCAAAAAGACTTTTCAGCAAGTGATTTAAAGCTAACTGCTCATTCTCCATGGATCAAAAAGACTTTACAAAAAGTGATTTAAAGCTAACTGGAAGATCTCAATGCAAAGTTGGTAACAACAACTCGAATAGAGAATTATCAATGAAAAAAAACAAGGATGTGGCACAATTAATGATAACGGAGAAAGACTGAGCGACTTCTGCACAGCGAAAAAGACTTGTTATAGGAGGAAAACTACTTCCTCACAAGAACATACACAAGCTTACAAGGATATCCCCAAATGGAAGAGATGTCAACCCGATCGACCATTTCATGGTTACCGGAAAATGGCGTGGGTCCCTACTCGATGTGCGTGTAAAAAGGAAAGTAGATGTGGGTAGTGATCATCATCTCGTAGTTGCAGTACTAAACTTAAACTTTAAAAAAAGTGCACACACAAGCTAAGACACAGACAGCATGCTACAATGTCAACCTAGTTAGAAAAAAAAAGACGTTGACACTTAATTTATAGTAGAAATCAAAAATAGATTTCAAACTCTTATCAGGTAAGCCAGACACTCTTTCTATAATCAGTTTTCAAAACAGATGGAACCGTCGTTTGTTGTAAAATGTTACATTTTTTTTTCGCTTATCCTGGTATAACTTTCTCAGATATCAACTAATCTGCATGAAATTGTGCATGCTTGTTCACATTATAACTGGTTGTAGCCTATTCTAAGGGAATTCAAATATCATGATTGTGTTCATTTTTATGTAATTTCACATTTTTAATTTTCCACACAGAAAAAGAGGAAAATTTCAGGTAGCTTTTCACAAAATTTATTAAATGTGTACTGTTTTCCATAGTCCGGGCCATACTCACACCATTTTTGTATGTGCAGTTTAATTTTTAAGGAATTTGGCTGCACCATTTCCCTAAAAATATTTCCAAAGTAACATCTATATTTTGCATATTTAAAAAATACTTTAATTTCACTTAAAAAAATTATTATCTCACATGTATATATTGAATTCCAAAGATGTTTATTTTATATGATAGCCTGATCATGTGGTCATTATGTCTGCAAATTTAAGAGTCCTATCTTTAAAATTGAATTTTTAATTATTTATTTCCTAACGCCACTGATTCCCTGCTAAAACTGCCCCCTTAAGGAGGTGACGACAATTATCACAGAGGGAGGAAAAAAATCAAAGCGCATATGACAAAGGGTAGACGCCGTGGTGTAGCGGCTAGGCGCTCGCCTGAGGATTGGAAAGTCGGAGATTCGGGTCCTGACGAAGCTAGACTTTTGTAAAGAATGTTCATGGCTCCCAAGACGACCCAGGCTTCAGCGGGTACCAGGTATAGTCATGGGAAGTAAAAATGGACGGTGTGATGTTGATTACACCATCCATAAATTCGACTGCTTTATAAAATATAGGTCTAGTCCAATATACCCAAGAAGGGTTCTTTACTATACTTTACAAACATTTAAAACAGAACGCAGCACCAACGAAAGTTGCACATCCTTTTTATCCTTTTAGTTGCCTTTCATTTACAGGACGATTCAGAACCAACCCCAGCATTTTGCTTGGGAGAGGGATAGAAAGACTGTTGTAGTTTTCTAGGCACATTAGATGGTCAGTTCTTGGTACCACTGTCAAAACCATCGCAATACGCTCTGCTGTCTGCTGCCAAATCACCTGCAGCTGGGATCGAACCCAGCACCCGGCATTACGAAGCACGTTAGCAACACCTAAGCAACAGACACCGGTGAAGGAAAGAAAGACAGATGTCGAAAAAAAAAAAAGACAGAGAAAAGAAAGAAACAAAGAAAGACAACATACTTTCATCGTTAACATGCAAACGGAACCAGGAGAATCTCAAGTTCCTCATGAATGTTACTTTCACAGCTTTAGAAAATCTGCTTGGATTGCAGTAACTATGATTCGTTATCGACAAATAGGTGGGGTTGGTGTGAGCTCCATAAAAGGATACGGCATCATCTGAAATCAGGTCAGTAGATATCTATCTATCAAATCTATCTATCTATCTATCTATCTATCTATCTATCTATCTATCTATCTATCTATCTATCTATCTATCTATCTATCTATCTATCTATCTATCTATCTATCTATCTATCTATCTATCTATCTATCTATCTATCTATCTATCTATCTATCTATCTATCTATCTATCTATCTGTCTATCTATCTATCTATCTATCTATCTATCTATCTATCTATCTATCTATCTATCTATCTATCTATCTATCTATCTATCTATCTATCTATCTATCTATCTATC